CCGAACCTTGACACTCTACTTATGTATATAGATGTATGTGATATACTTTCATAACGTGAAGTAGAATAAATTCTCTCCAAGTGTGGATTGGGATTATTTTTTCAGTGTGAAGCGAGATTATCTTCATGTCCTGTGCAGTGAGATAATTATCTAGTAATGAGAAACGGGATGATCCTCTCGTAGCTAACAGAGGGATAAATTTATAGTATTGAGTCTTGTAGGTTAGTTGGAGTGGCTTTAGTCTCTGATAGTGTTGATTGGGGTTATCCGGTCTCAGTAAGAAGTGGAATTACATCTCGTAGTGTGGATCGAAGATGACCTCTTGTAGTTTTGAGTAAAATTATCTTCTCCTGTGGAGCGGGATTATCCTCTCGTAGTCTTTACTGGGATTATTCTCTGACAGTGTTGAGTGGGGTGAACCTCTTGCACTGAAAATAGGGACTACCCTCTCATAGCATTTAGTGGGATTACCCTCTTTTATTGTGGAGCGGGATTATCCTCTCGAAATGAAGAATGGGATTATCCTCTTATAGTATTAAGCGGGGTTATCCTCTCGTAATGTGGAGTGGGATGAACCTCTCGTAGTGTGGTGTGGGATGAACCTCTCGTAGTGTGGAATGGGACGAACCTCTCGTAGTGTGAAGTGGGATGAACCTCTCGCAGTGTGGAATGGGATGAACCTCTCGCAGTGTGGTGTGGGATGAACCTCTCGCAGTGTGGTGTGGGATGAACCTCTCGTAGTGTGGAGTGGGATGAACCTCTCATAGTGTGAAGTGGGATGAACCTCTCGCAGTGTGGAGTGGGATGAACCTCTCGTAGTGTGAAGTGGGACGAACCTCTCGTAGTGTGAAGTGGGATGAACCTCTCGCAGTGTGGAGTGGGATGAACCTCTCGTAGTGTGAAGTGGGACGAACCTCTCGTAGTGTGAAGTGGGATGAACCTCTCGTAGTGTTGAGTGGGATGAACCTTTCGTAGTGTTGTGTGGGATGAACCTTTCGTAGTGTTGTGTGGGATGAACCTCTCGCAGTGTGGTGTGGGATGAACCTCTCGTAGTGTGAAGTGGGATGAACCTCTCGTAGTGTGGAGTGGGATTAACCTCTCGTAGTGTTGAGTGTGATGAACCTTTCGTAGTGTTGAGTGTGATGAACCTTTCGTAGTGTGGAGTGGGATGAACCTCTCGTAGCATGGAGTGGGATGAACCTCTCGTAGTGTGGTGTGGGATGAACCTCTCGTAGTTTGAAGTTGGATGAACTTCATGTTGTGTGCAATGGGATGAACTTCTCGTAGTGTGAAGTGGGATGAACTTCTCGCAGTGTGGAGTGGGATGAACCTCTCGTAGTGTGAAGTGGGATGAACCTCTCGCAGTGTGGTGTGGGATGAACCTCTCGTATTGTGAAGTGGGATGAACCTCTCGCAGTGTGGAGTGGGATGAACCTTTCGTAGTGTTGTGTGGGATGAACCTTTCGTAGTGTTGTGTGGGATGAACCTCTCGCAGTGTGGTGTGGGATGAACCTCTCGTAGTGTGAAGTGGGATGAACCTCTCGTAGTGTGGAGTGGGATTAACCTCTCGTAGTGTGGAGTGAGGTTAACCTCTCGTAGCGTGGAGTGGGATGAACCTCTCGTAGTGTGGAGTGGGATGAACTTCTCGTAGTGTGGAGTGGGATGAACCTCTCGCAGTGTGGAGTGGGATGAACCTTTCCTAGTGTGGTGTGGGATGAACCTTTCCTAGTGTGGTGTGGGATGAACCTCTCGTAGTGTGGAGTGGGATGAACTTCTCGTTGTGTGAAATGGGATGAACTTCTCGTAGTGTGAAGTGGGATGAACTTCTCGCAGTGTGGAGTGGGATGAACCTCTCGTAGTGTGAAGTGGGATGAACCTCTCGCAGTGTGGTGTGGGATGAACCTCTCGTATTGTGAAGTGGGATGAACCTCTCGCAGTGTGGAGTGGGACAAACCTCTCGCAGTGTGGAGTGGGACGAACCTCTCGTAGTGTGGTGTGGGACGAACCTCTCGTAGTGTGAAATGGAATGAACTTCTCGTAGTGTGGAGTGGGATGAACCTCTCGTAGTGTGGAGTGGGATGAACCTCTCGCAGTGTGGAGTGGGATGAACCTCTCGCAGTGTGGAGTGGGATGAACCTTTCCTAGTGTGGTGTGGGATGAACCTTTCCTAGTGTGGTGTGGGATGAACTTCTCGTTGTGTGAAATGGGATGAACTTCTCGTAGTGTGAAGTGGGATGAACTTCTCGCAGTGTGGAGTGGGATGAACCTCTCGTAGTGTGAAGTGGGATGAACCTCTCGCAGTGTGGTGTGGGATGAACCTCTCGTAGTGTGAAGTGGGATGAACCTCTCGCAGTGTGGAGTGGGACAAACCTCTCGCAGTGTGGAGTGGGACGAACCTCTCGTAGTGTGGAGTGGGATGAACCTCTCGTAGTGTGGAGTGGGATGAACCTCTCATAGTGTGAAGTGGGATGAACCTCTCGTAGTGTGAAGTGGGATGAATCTCTTGTAGTGTGGAGTGGAACTTATATACTTAGTATAGGAAAAGACAAAAGAACACAGTGAAATGAAATATCTATGAACTCTGTTCATGTTCACAAAACAGACTGATATGATAAATATGTTACTGACCTAGGGCTTAGGTAACAAACGGTCAGCTGAGGTCACTGAACACTGTAATAGACGATAAGGACATTGTTATGGAGGGATAAGATCATTAGATATATCCAGTAAATCTGTAACAGACAGATGGTCAGAAGCCATAAATATGTAACAGACAGATGGACAGAAGTCATACATCTGTAACAGACAGATGATCAGTAGCCATAAAACTATTAACCAGACAGATGGTCAGAAGCCATAAATATTAACAGACAGATGGACAGAAGCCATAAAACTATTAACCAGACAGATGGACAGAAGCCATAAATCAGTAACAGATGGTCAGAAGCCATTAATATGTAACAGACAGATGGACAGAAGCCATAAATCTGCACATGACAGACTGAAGTCATAAATCTGTACATGACAAATGGACAGAAGTCATAAATATGTAACAGATGGTCAGAAGCCATAAATATGTAAGACAGATGGACAGAAGCCATAAATCTGCACATGACAGACTGAAGTCATAAATCTGTACATGACAAATGGACAGAAGTCATAAATATGTAACAGATGGTCAGAAGCCATAAATATGTAAGACAGATGGACAGAAGCCATAAATCTGGAACAGACAGATGATCAGTAGTCATAAAACTATTAACCAGACAGATGGACAGAAGTCATAAATATGTATCAGAAAGGTGGACATAAGCCATAAATCTTGAACAGACACATGGTCAGTCACCATAGAACTATAACAAGACAGATGGACATGATTCATAATTCTGTAACAGAAACTGTAAATCTGTAACAGACAGATCAGCAAAAGTCATAAATCTGTGACAGACAGATGGACATAAGTCCTTGATATGTAACAGACAAGTGGACAGGATTGATAAGTCTGTAACAGACAATAGCCATAAATTTGTAACATATGGACAGAAACTGCAGATCTGTTACAGACATGTGGACATAGGATATAGACCTTTAATAGACAAATGGACAGAGACCTGCATCTGCTAGACAGATAAACAGAGATCTCTCAAATATGTAGTTCAGTTACAAGTATACAGTTCAGCCTCATACATTCATACATAGAATGGTATAGTAACTTTAGCATAATAACCAAGGTGGCCTGTAAAATACATTGCTACCAAAGACAAGCTGCCCATAAGACCAGTATAATTCATCTGCTTTAATTCACCGACATTGTATCAGTTAAACTAAATGGAAAGTATTTAAGTCCTGTACCTATTAACCCTCAAAGGTCCGACCCCTTTGCCCAAAGGGTGAGCAGATGCACGGTTTATATAAACCCAAGCAAAAATGCTTCAGCTCAAATTTTCAAATCTCATCATTCAAACCGAAGGATTTTAAAGATTTTGCTCTATTTTCCCTACTGGGCCACACTGTTTACACGAAATTGATCTTCGCCAAAGCATGCACCAAGTCAAATTGGGAAAGAATCCAGCAATTTGTAATGAATAGACATTTTATTTCTCTATTTCCCTTATTGGGCCCCACACCTCCCTCTAAGACCAACCATTTATACAAAATTGATTACCCCTTCACCAAATAATGCTTCAAACCAAATTTGATAAAAATCCAAATATTCCCACAGGAGAAGTAAGTATTTAAAGAATTTGCTCTATTTCCCCTATTTGGCACAGCCCCTATCGCCCCACCATTTATGCAAAACTTGACTTTCCTTCATCCAAGATTGGTTCAGATCGAATTTAATGAAATTCCAATCAATCATTTCTACAGGTGGAGGATTTTTGCTCCCTTCACCATATTAGGCTCCTCCCTTCCCCAACCCCCACCTCCAAGACCTATTTTTCATAAAAAATTGATTCTGCTTCACCCAAGGATACTTCAGATGAAGCTTTGAAAGAATCCAGTCATTCCTAAAGATGGATGATTTTAAAGCATTTTCTATTTTTCTTATTGGACCCCAACCCTCCCATTCCAACAGATCAAGATCCACTGTTGATACAAAATTGCTAAGCCCTTCACTTCAAAGGTTGCTTTAGACCAAATTTGGTCAAAATCTAACCATTCCTACAGCAGGAGCAGGTTTTTAAAGAATTTGCTATAATTCTCCTATTTGGCTCTGCTTTAGAGGGCCGAAACCCATCCTTTATATAATGTTTATTTCCTTTTACACAAGAAAGCTTAAAATCATATTAGGACAGAATCCGGGAATTTCCCTTCCTCCACGAGTGCTTCTGGCCTAATTTAGTAAAGATCTGCTCAGTTATTTATGACTAGCAGCAAATCTTGGGAAATCTTAGGAAAAGTTAACTGACGACAGACACCGCGGTATGGCATAAGCTCACTGGTTCTTCAAATAAAGCATTACATTATTTCTGGATTTAAATAACAACAGATCAAAGTCATCACAAAAACAATGTTGTATTTATAGGTAGAATTTTAATTGCAGAAAAATAAAACTTTTACATATTTATAAATTTCTTTTCCGATTTCTCACCAAATATAATAGTATATTGGTCTTCTCTCGAAGTACCATCAAAATAAAAAATCTCTGTATTTATAACCTGAACGCTCCTCCCTCCCTGCAGGACAAGCCTGCCTACCACACCTCTACCTCCCTCACTCTCAGCCACTCACTGAACTGTCAGTAAATAATATTAAAATAGAAAATACTAAACTATGAAATGTACGACAAATTATTTCAAATTGATAAGATTCAATTTTATACAAATTATATATACTTTTGTCTTGAAAGCATCAACATCTGCACCTTTTCCATTCTGGAAAATTTTTCATCAACTTGCATACATAATATTGGCATAATGTCATTCCAACTTATAACCTAACCAATCACAACGAACCCTTTCTGGGTGATCAAGTTTTGAACTTCTACTACGTTATACTGTAGAGTAAAATAAAGAGCCTTCATTGTGGACTATAAAATGCTTTTTGACAGTGGGATAAAACATAATTAAAAAAAAAGGAAAACAAATCTCATTAATGTAAACAAAACAAACAAAATTAAAGTTGTTTGCATATACAGGCTTCACAAGTATTACTAGAGATAAAACGACTGCCAAGTCATAACTTCCCTTCTATCAATCATTATAGGTATACCAATTCAAAAAGTTTAAAACAAAATGTAGATTTTTGGTATCTATGATTATTACTGGCTTCTGACAGTACCAATGTACTACAACTTTATAAAATACATAATATATACTCCACGGTAAACTGGCCATGCCACAACGCTGACACACCATCAATCAGTCCCAGTGCATACAAGCTACAGGTCACTCTGCCAAATCTATATCAAATTAATGAAAGATGGTAGGATCTTAAATATCATCTGATCAGATCTTTGTTAAACATTACATTTGGTACATCTTTGTTTTTAATTGGCCTTTAAAACTTGTTCACAGCTACTGTTTTGGACAACTTGTACAATATTTGGCTATTTATAATTTAAAGGTCAAGGTGATTTCAATACCATGTCATGACCTCAATCACTATACACCCTCAATCCAGGTCACTGTGACCAACTTCCATGTTGGACATCATCTTCCCTGATACACATGGCCATATACAGTGCATTTTCAATACATCACAAATTTAATTTCAGCTTATATATCAAAACTAAATGCGAAAGTTAACATCCAATGTTGATGTCAACATATTGGAAGCAATGCCTATATGTTGTCCTTCTTTTTTACAAAAAGTGAAGACAAAATATACATTATGCAAATAAAATAATCTTTGGGAAAAGGATAATTAAATAGTCGATGCATCAATACACATTTGATCGGGTACATATCATGAAATTAAAACAAAACATACAATTTTTGTTTCTTATACGACTAGAACTCTTTGAATGAAAAAAAAGATAAAGTTGCATAGAAATTGTGCTGTTGCTAGATAAGATCATGGAAATTATACAGGAAAAACTACTGCCTACAGCTAATGAACTTCAATTTATTGTTGAAAATGATAAACCACAAGGTCTAGCTTAACTACACTTGTGTTTCTGGTAACAGTGGCGAAGGAACCAATTTAAATTTGTTATCATTGTTTTTAATTCTTTATATTGAACATAGGAAAAGATATATTTCAGTTTAAAAAGACTTTTTGTCAAATTTTACATTATGGGTAGTTTTTCATACATGTTACCAGAAACACAGGAATATTCTTCCAGACCTAATAACATATATGAGTGTAATTAGAATCAATGGAAAACAAATACGGTATGAGCCCAGTACATTTTACAAATATATAAGTTGGAATTTACGATTGCATAGGTGCCAAATTTCTGTCAAAAATTATGCCCCAGGTTTCCATGTCAACTTTCATTTTCTAGTATCTTTGTATCTTGGTTTCATTTCTATCTATGACCTCGGTTTTTACATTTATAGAAGGTACTTTCATTCAAACTGGATTTCTATAGACCAATTTAGACATTAAATAATCAACAGACTTAACTTCCACCGAGTAAACTTACAACATTTTATCTAGACAAGTTATGAATGGTTTATAATAACAAATCAGATCTATGGATGACCTGGTTTGGAAGACATTCTATATATATATTGGTAGAGCTACTTCCGCCTCGGTGTATTGTTCTAATCACTTCAGAAACGTTGATTGGTTTTGCAAAAAAATCTTTTCTTTGAGTGCAAATATACATATATATAATATAAGTTTATATTTCCTTGCAACAAAGACATGTATTTCTCATCCCTTCACAAAACTGGTAGCAAAAATAACTTGCAAATGTATTTGATTCGACTGCACTAATATTGTGAGTAATATATAATTATTATTAATATATATAATCTTATGTGCACCAGCACAATGTAATGCATGCAAATATATGCATATTATTTGCATACATGTTTATATAAATGCGAAATAAATGGGACTATCAACCTTGACAACACAACAAACAGTTGTGGGGGGAAATAATGGCAACAAAAAATTCCATTTCTAACAAAGAAACATTCTCTTGACACATCAATATCAGAGGATCACTATTGAACTAGATCATATGCAAGTTATTCAAATAAAGAAAAAAAATTCCTGAAACATTTATTTTACCATACCAATTTACATGTAGTCATTGAGCAGGAGTTTGTCACTGGTAGTTTTAGAAAATTAAAACATATTCATGGATCTGTTAAAAAAATATTTCAAGCTTATCTTGGTCAGTTTACATCAAGATTCAGACATAGTCCTGCTATCTGTATTGAGTTAGTTGAACATGCAATATATATAACATGGATTATAGGACATAAATTACTATTACGATGGTCCCTTCAGGTGTTACTTTGGCATTAGTTACAGGTCACAACATCCAGTCCCGCCCCTTGCTCAACAAACCACTGGAAAATAATATTATCCCAAGACCAACCCATCCCTCACAGTTAACATTCACATTCACTAGCATTTACCAAGATATTATCCTGATCTATTAATAGATCATTTGATTAGTCATGGTTTCAACATCCCCGTGAATTAAATCTAAATCCATTTAATTTTAATCTAAACTTATTTGCAATTTATTAATATGAAATATTTTATCAAAACATTTTCACATGTAAGGGTTATCGAGTTGATAACTTTTATACAATGTTTCCTAATAGTTCATTATAATGGTGACTATGAATCAATAAGATGTATTACCATGTTTGTCCCATAATAGGCTTACTACTGATTACAAATTGTGAATCCCCCAGTGGCTGAGCGGTACACAGACACAACACATAATAAAGCTCAGACCAGCTAGGCGTTGGTCTTAACATGTAATTAAACAACACAGCTTGATACGGTCATCAAGTCACTGTATACATAATAATGGGAAAAATGCACATTCAATTCCAAGAATAAAATACTCTGATAAATTTATGTTACAAATATTAATAATACTTCTTTGCATGGATATCATTTATGAAGATCTATTTGTTATAATAATAGTCAAATTAAAAAAAATCTTAAAAAAAAAAGTAAAAACAATGTTGCACAGCTATATTAAGGAATAGACTTGATAATAATAGACGTACAATGTACACAACATGAAAACAAAGATGTTTGTATACATACTGATGTCCATATAACTCATAAACTGTTTCAAGTACAATAATAATAATAATATAATAATAATAATCTCATAAAAACAATAATATATTAATGGTGAAAATGATGTCTTTGATATACACAATGAGATTTCTCTTAAAACATTCTATGAAAAAGTCTATAATTATATATTCCATATTTAATATATATAATAATATAGAGAACAACTTGAAATGATAATAGAGCAATATTCCTGAATGTAGGATAAGATTTTGAATTGATAATCACCTATGTTTATATATATTATACATCCTGCCGTTTAGGAGAAGATGCGGATGGCCTGAGTCGGTGCTTGTTGGCAGACAGGACAGCTCCGCTCCAACTGGGGTTTCTCCACGATCAGGTTCGCACATTCCATGCAGAACAGGTTATGGCCACACGGCACTAGGGCCGCCACAATATCGCTTTCCGAGCACATAAAGCACTGCCTCCTGGGGCGGCCATTCAAGGTGGGTACCGAAACTGGGCAAGTAATTCCGCCATTCCTGGCCAGGGAAACGTCCACTACTGAGGCAATAGGGGGCACGGCCAGAGCGCTAGTGCAGGAAATGACCGATGCATCCTCACTCGAGGTAGACGTGAACGTTGTGCTGGGGGTGGCTCCAAACATAGTCGTTGTCACACTGGCAAGGGGGTCACTTCTGATCCTCCGCACGAGGGCATGGTCACTAGGTGGCGATGGAGACGACCTGTCTGACCCAGACCCGATGCCACTATGTGGAGGCGAGGGCGAGTCAGTGAGGGTGGGGGAGAGTCGATGACCGCTGTTGAGACTGCTGCTACGCCGTGGCATGCTGGTGGATGTTGAAGTGAACAAGGAGACTAGAGTTGAATTGCGATTGTCATTATACTCCCCCCACATGTAGGAAGGAGGTAGGATGGGATCAAATGATGGAGAACCACCAATCCCTTCGTCGTTGTCATACATATTAAAGCCATTGAAACCATTGCCAAATCCATTGGAAGCAAATTCTGAGATTTTTGTGGAAGTATTCACCGGCGGGAAACTGAAAATATTGGTATCTTGTGGAGGTGGAGGACAACTGTTGTTCAGAGCATTATGTATGTTGTTGAAAGCACATGTCCCATTCACTCCATTTGGCGATTTGTTATATCCATTAAACTCACCACTTCCATTCAACTCATGGAAGCCTGAATCGACACCATTGCTGCGAAAATCATCCTCATTCTGAGAATCCATAAGTCCTCCTGTTCGAAGAGCAATGTGACTTTCGATTTCCTGTCTGGCTTTTTCAACATTCTCGGTAAGTCCAGTGACCTCAAATACAGGCTCCTTGTCACGGCTGGGAGTGACGATGTACGTGTGTGTTTGCTGTTGAATTCGTTTAATGGTGGCTCCCTTTGGACCAACAACGAGACCCACAACTCTGTAAGGAACACGCACCTGAATGGTAACCTGTCCTGGAGCATTGGGGCTTGGGGGACCTGTGGTTAGAGTTGTGCCATTTGTAGGTGTGGTTGTAGAGGAAACTGAAGATACACTGCTATTACGACGAGAAGCACGAATTTGGCTGAAGTGTTCAGCTGCAGACAGAATTTCCCTCTTAGCGGCATTAACATCCTCCTTTCTACCAGTGACTACGAAAACTGGCTCCTCACCTCGAACTGGGGTTTTGATGTACGTGTTGGTCTTTGCTCTCAGTGCCTTTATTTTGCATCCTGTAAATACGAAATGAAATCATGGATTGTTTTTCAATTTGAATAAATGTATTCACATTTTTTCAATGGTCAACAGTTCTATTCCAAACAAATATCATATTTTCATTTCATTAAGGAATAATTAACAGACTTTCCATAAATATGTTAACTACAGTAATAGCATCATGCAATGAAATGTGGAAAAATAAATTCTATCACATCATTATCAAATATATTGAAATGGTGGAAATAAGGAAGTTTTTAAACAGTATCATGTTAAAACATAGGAGGAAGTTTTGCCTCAAACTATCAAGAAATATATAGGCTACTTTTGCCTGTGTATTTGGGTCAACAGAATATTGCCATGTTTTACAGTCTGACTGAGCAAATAAACCTGTGTAGTCAGCTTTATGACAGCAGTATAATGCCACTTACTGGCTTAATTTTAGGACCACATTACACATCATCAACAGATTTAGGCATACATCCAGAAATTGTCTGAATAACTGGCAACACGTGAATGTATCCATGATAAAATTATAAGATTGCATTATGCCCTAGTAATTTTCTTCAGTTTTTATTCAGTATTGAAAGAGAACCAAGTGTTTTTTCCTAACATATTTATATTTGTATCACATCAAGTATCATTTTGACTGTCGTATAAGTGTTGTGTACCAGGCCACCTGACACGGATATAGGAATATTAACGTGTGTTTAAATATTCATGAATAATATTTATATCTAGGACTATAGTCTTGGGTCAAGATAGTGATACACAGTCTGAAACTTGTCCTTATTCTAGGTTTCCAGTATATTGAAGATAGCGTGTTTTAAAACTGTCTTCCAAATATAAAACGCATTAATAAAAATCTAACACGTTAATTTAGTTTCCATGTTTAACCTGCAATGATAAATACAAAGGCAAATGTTTGTTTACTTCTCTCGAGACGAAATACTTCAAGTGTTTCACTGACCTCGTCGATCGAGAGGGGTAGTGAATTTGTGAATGGGTGAAGGACCACGTGGTTTCTTTGTTTATCATCCAGCGGGGTATTTCAAGTGCACGTATAGTGTCTACCCCGAACACGTGGTAAACGAGCCAGGTTGAAAATTTCGGCCAAGTACGGTGTCATGTCTAGGGGAATTTGAAGTTCAACAAAGAACAAATAGTAAGGACATTTCCTGCTGTCTAAGAAGAGTAAACAGTATTTAATTGTCGAACCTACCTACAACGACTTGTCAGTCAACACAGGACAAAGCAGTTCATCAGTCACAACACAGCAGACATAACACACACAAAGATAAGTTACAAGATATCTATATATATCAACTATGTGAGTGCCATACGCGTCATGGCTATGTCTGTGTATTACGACACTATTGTCCTACACAGCAGCCTTAAAATGGAAAATGAGCCGAGAATAATACGTGAAAATAAAATAAAACTACCTACCCTGACGTCCGACGATTTCGGCCACGTGTTCCGAGCTGGGTACGGGTACACACTCCGTCATGTTAGCACTACCTCTTTTTCTCGCAGCATCCAAATCCATCCCGGATGACGAAGACGAACTGTTCCCGACAGAACCATTTTCCTCCTCGGTACCGTTCAACCCCATCATCGAGAGTTCGAAGGCTAACTGCAGTGCGCGCTGTTCCTCGTAGCTCGCACTTGGATTCATCTCATTGTACAGGCTAGCTGGCATCGTTGACAATTTGGGGTTCGAACACTAGAATGTACAAAAATAAAGATTTCATATAAACTCCTTGGTTCACATAAGTTCCCTTTGTTAGGGCAGCACTTCGCTGCTCAATGCGCGGCACTCACTGTTACACTGTCTGTTATTCTCACAATGCACAAAAGCAATATGGCCTGGGTGACGTCATCTTCCCAAGATTCCGCGGCATTTCTTGGCCTGCTTCCCTGCGCCCATTGGCTGTGTATCACTTAATGGGCGGGGCGTCAACTTTGACCTAGCCTGGCTGCGAAGCATGGCAAAACATTGATGTTTTTATTGCAGATGTCTTGTTATACACAAGAGAGATTTGGGAAATGAAATTATTTGGTGGAAATGGAAGAATGGATTACTTAGCCATACTTCAATATTAGTGTATATAAACGAATCTCTGACCACGCCAATTGTGTTATGTGGTGTTTTTTTTATCGTTTGTTAATGCATATTTAAAGATATTTTTTTGTTTAAAATTAGTCATTTAAACGCTTTTTCTTTGTCCCTAAGATACGTTAACTAACTTCGAAAACATCACTGCTCTGTTTCATATCTAATTTTATGAACTGCGGGGTAGAAATACTAACAAAGGCATTTTAATTCATTTACCTTTATTTGAAGTATTTTCCAGCGAACGAAAGGTCCGGCAAGGTTCGGTTTTAATAAAGAAATAATGAACGAGCAAGTAGGAATCTCTTTCTTGATGATTTCGTGTTTCGTGATGCATCAGTCGTCTTGTGAGTTATGAAACATGCAATAGTTCTATCTAATTGCCTCGAACGAGTCCAGAGGGGACGCTACTGACCCTCATTGACTCAAGATGTGAATATTGCCTTGATTAGATCGAGTTAGGAATATCGTGATCAAGGGTAGTTCATGGGCTGGGCATAAAACATGTTGAAATAAAGGACGCTATGTATGTTAAATGGCAGGTCGGCGTCCCATCAAGTTAAACCTACCCACCTCACGATACAGGATACGCAGTTGTTTCTAAAACAATGACCAGCTTGGCCACTGTATCTTTCCCCTACTCTATATTCACCAAAGTCACGATCGTAGATATAATGAGAACGATATAACTTACTGTGTAATTGCACTGGGAGTAAACCGTCAGCTTAAAACAAATCGATAACGAAAAATTAATTATGGCTTCATAAAGTCGATAGCATATATCAACACAGATGGTGGTCGATGTATGTTGTATATATTTACAATAACAGGTTACCCTATCAATCACTTGACCATTAACTTAATATTGCTGAATAACCCGTCTAAAGAACCTAGCCCCATGAGACTAGCCCCTAATGGTCAGTTAACCCCGAGGTCCCTCTCCCACAGGGGTCAGGATGACATCATTCACAACAGGGAGTCGGCAGGTTATTACGAGCCGAGTTGATTGCGAAGTTAATTGCTGGGTATGTTATCGGTGTTTGTAGGAGTAATTAAGGTTTCCTGTCCCGTGGCCATGGGTGCCGTCCTAAACACTAGCACAATAGTATAAATAACACATTGTTGTTGTATAAATAGATACGGAAACTGACACCCCAAATACCGTACGGAGTCACAGAACCCCTTTGTCTATTACAGTTGGAGTTAAACCCAGGTACATTCCACCTGGATTATACCTGTATATACATACATACAGGTATTCGTCATGCATGAAACATTCACCATTTTGCATCAATGTTCGCTTTATATTATTTTTTAACACAAACGTGCGTTTATCGAATTCGTGGCTATATCAATCTCACTGTAGATAAAAAAAAGTGCAGCCATGATAGATAGGTATAAAAACAGCAAATACAGATGTATACATCCGTTCCCATGCTTTGTGTTACCAAATGCGTTGTGAGATTGAGCCAATTGCTTATCTCAAAGCATGTTTTAAAAATATATTAGTATTGACATCATCGCCAACTATCCATACACTCATTACCCTACCTTGTTCTAAACGTACAAATTAGCAGCAAAACCAATGTTGTATCCTTAATCTTACCAATGCGTGCCTGTCTCCGTCCATCTAGAGCATAATCCTGGTACTATACACACACGAGTCTGTGGTCAGACTAGGCCAGTTATCAGTCGTAAAAATGGTCGCACCTGCACTAATCCTGGCAGAAGCTAATTAATGGCTCTAAATAGCTATATCGCTTTATAGTATTATCTAATTTTTATTGATCTTCCGTATCACACTACACAGGTATTGATCCTAAAATACAAACAGCTCATCAACCCGCGTACATCCACTGCTATTCATATATCTTCATATTTACTCGAGAACTTTTTCCAATATCCGACGATGTAGCGGCGGTGTGTTATATAACACTACACCTGAACAGATATATGCCAGCATCCCTCAGATATATACAGGTATCTGTCCATGTATAATTTACTGTTGATAGCCACGTGTCTTGTTTGTACATGTTAGCAATATAAATCATCCTCAAAGTACTTAATTAATTAAAGGCCTTACCTTTAAAAACGATGCAGTCTCGAACAACATGTTTGCTGAGTGTAAACAGACAATATGAGCGTATATTCTCCAGTTGGGTTAGATGTCATGAATACTGGCTTTGTAACCTCTCGGTTAAGTGTGCGACCTTTGAGGTTGAGGGCAGACTGTGATGGTTCGTTTATCCACTCGGGTATAAATACAATCTGACTTCCCGTCCCGTCATCACACCTGTGTTGACACGGTAACGACAGGAAACTGTACAGGTGTGATGATAGTACTAAACTACTCCAATCAGTGTACCTTTCCTCGGGTGATTAAACCTGATTACTGAAAAATCACACCCCAAACACCCAATCATGCCCGGGGCTCCTTCCAACTATTCACCAAGCCCCCAGAACAAAGGGGATGTGTTAGGACTAATAGGGACCTATTTACCAGTGTGTTTACTGCAACTCGGCGCTAAAACAAACACACTGGGTCCATATCCCGAACTTTCATAGATATTAAATCCGATTGATTTGATTTCCGCTGTGAAGTGTGATATAGTAAGTAAAGTAATATAGCTAGTGTGTAATACTGCCGCGCCTTTCCTGGAAGGACGTCCATGGTCGCGAGATTAACACATTTACAATCATAATATTTACATACCAACATACTACAACGCCATTGACGAGAGAATGAAGGAGGGGTATTGATTAAGGGGAATCTCTAACATGGTTTAGTATTTAACTTGGAGGGAAAAATCCAATGGGCCCGAGCTCCGTCATCAGTCCATCAATGATATAGGTTAAACAGACCGATGTTTAGAGCTACCCGATGAAAACTTATTTTCCCTCTCATATTTGCTAAGGACGGCTAGAGGTATTTTTGTACAAGTAAGCTTGAATACATGTTTTATACAAGTCTTCATCCATTTTTTTTAACATTTTACATTTTAAATGTTCATATTGTAAAACAATAAAAGTAACTGATCATGATAAAACATTATTCAGTGTCGTGATGAACAAAAAGGTGGGTAAGATTCAATTTATCATGCGCTTTCTTTAGTCATTAAAGAAAGGAAATGAGAGACGGCATTTTCGCGCGGATTTTTATAGTTTACCGAACAGATATACAAAGGGCACGAGTTAAGGGATGCGAGTGGACTGCCATGTACTCGCACGAGACCTGATACCCGTATGTACAATCAATACTAGAAATCTATAATTCATTCACGTTATGTAAAATATATATCGTTGGAGAGTAAGCTATTCACGGATTAATAACCGAGTCAATAGCGTTATCTTATCAATTTTACTAATTTAATCAATGTTTGTGTAATTTACAGATTCCAACAGTCAAAATTGCATAATTTCATACGTGTTGAGAGTTACTATTTCCACTGTATATAAATAATTTTCGAGAGTTCAAGATAAACTTGTCAGAATAAATAAATATTTATCAGCAGAGACCTAAATTATTTATCAACTTTTCTCCATTGCTCTTTATCTAAGTTAAAATAAGGGAACTAGCTAGTTTCTTCCAGCAACATAGGTGACACAGGTAGGCGGACTCTTTATCCAATTATGTTACTTTAACATCTTCTTTGTACTACCTGTAACAAAAGACAGGTAACACAATTTCCCGCCAGAAGCCAGTGTCGTCTGCTGCTCCACCTGTGGCGGCTGATGGTCACGGGACTCCGACAGATGGGTCGGTATGTCCTACTGGACCGCAAAGCATTGTCTTCTTTCTAACCAGAAATTTTATTGAAATGCGTGTTTCTTTTTATAGTCTGAATATCTCTAACGTCGATAACTTCATAACAACGCTGTAGGTTAGAATTACAGGAAGGTATCGCGAGGGAAAACTTAAAACTGTCTTTGTCAATAGGCTGTCTGATTGGACTGTCCGCCCCTTGTAGCTACCTGCGTTTTGAGGCCGGAGTCAGCTTTGTTGACCAATAAACAAATATCTTACCAACAATAAGAGTTGTTGACTGCAAGGTCGGTAATAATTCAAGGTCGTGGCTACAATTGAAACCATTGTAACACACCACCTGCACTCATCCAACTTTAAACCCCGAACAAGGCATGTCCACGGCCCATGGGCCATTATATCGCCGACAATTTCTTGAAGTGCCGCTTTATACTAACTATAAACGTCTTTAAAAATGAAGCCATTTCCATCTTTTGATAACGAACAAAGTGTGCACGTTTAGCAAACTTTTTCTCGTTGCCTTGGAAACTGTGCGGAAAATTCCTTCGTCATAAGAATATTTGTAAACCTGAACAACAATAATTATTTAAATTCTGTCAAAATACATCAATACCCTCTGCCAAAATTCTTAACGTTTGGTCGATTTTTTTTTGTGCGTAATGTCAAAATATCTCCACCTTGTAATGGTATTTCTGTATATTATGTCAATATTTTTGTACGTTATGTCAATATTTATATCAGTGTTTTTGTACGTTATATTAATATCTTTGTACTTTATGTCAATATTTCTGTACGTTATATTATTGTATGTTATGACAACATTTCTGTATGTTATGTTAACATTTCTGTGTGTTATGACAACATTTCTGTACGTTATATCAATATTATTGTATGTTATGACAACATTTCTGTATGTTATGTTAACATTT